CATTGAAACAGATGAGGGAGAACTTTTTAAAAATAATATAGGATTTAGGTATTATTTTCATGAAAAGATTCCAGAAAAAGAAATGCATATTAAAGTGGATTGTGGACTTGGGGTGGGGGTGAGGAATTGTATAACAATGAAAGAATTTTTTTTTCTTCAAAGAGAAAAGTGAATTGGGGTTTGGGGTGGGCAGGGAGGAAAATATGCAAAAATGAATGAATGGGGGAAAATTAAATGGAAATAATATGCCATAAAAATATATATGTTGCATTAAAAAATCATTAATTAAAAAAGAATTAAGAAAAACCCTATAATGTACATAAATGACACACTATATACAAGTTATTGTATGCAAATCAATACAAAATTTTAAATAACTTTTTAAAAATTTTAAATAACTTTTTAAATTTTATTGGGAAAAACATAATGGGGGTACAAGGAGGTGAGGGTTAGGAGCAGAAGGGTGAGGATGGGCAGGGATGCAGTTGCAGAGCTGCACAATTCGGTTGGTGGGGGGAGCAGGTGAAGGAAAGGAAAAGGATCCAGTGGGGACCAGATGCTACAGGGGAATGGTAAGCATTTCCAATGGCAATTAAACCAACTGTCTTATTAATTTGGGAACTGGATGCAGACTCTCTGGCTTCATCATGCTGAACAGGGTCATTGATGTGAAGGGGGAAAGGGAGGACACTTTGTCACCTTACTGGTGGTCTTGGGTTAAAGCTGCTTGCCTTCTTGTTCTGTTAGACAATATTTTCCTGTCATTTGCTCCCCTCTGGACTGCAAAGTGCTTTCCCAGGTGGGTTCAGTGGGGATGGCTGGTTGAACCCAGAGGCTCCATCCTCCTTTGCTTCCTTATCTGGCAGTTGTATTTCCTTTTTGTCACTGGCACTGGTTTCAGGGTCAGGTCTGGAGTAAAATTCAGTGTTAAGGTTACCTTATAGGAAAGGGAGCAAACCTAGAGAGAACAAACTTGTGAGTCACAAATAGAAGGGCTTTGGGGGTGTTGCTTTCAGGTTTACTGGGGGAGAGGGTGGCGGAAAGTAGCCTAGATAAAATTCGCTGGATAACCTAGGCATTTTTTTGTTTTGTTTTGTTTTCCCCATCCAAGGGTCAGATGGCACAGTCTAGGGACTGAGGAGCTCACCCTGAGGGCTGTGATGGCTCACCCCAAGCCGAGGGCCGAAGACAGCCCATCCCGGGCAGAGGGCTGTTATGGCTCGCCCCAGGCCAGGGGCTGAAGACAGCCCGTCCCGAGCAGGGGAACACCCTTCAGAGGCTGCCTTGTACACTCCCCCTCCAATTGCCCCCACCCCACTGTGGTCGCCTCGCCTGACCGAGGACTATGTGGCCAAGGACAGCATCTCCAATTCCAGCACTGCCACTTTTACACACACCCCCCAAATGGTCATACTATAATTTGAAGTTGGTGTCACTGCCCTCCCCCTTTATAAATGGCAAAGGGAAACTGGGAGTTGTGAACAGACTCCACCCCCTCCCCCCCGGTCTAAATAGCTTTTGGCAGAAGCATTCAACAGATCAAAATATGTGGCATTTAGGACATCGGTCCTCTTGGACATGCTGCCACTGTTAAGTGTCATCAAGTAGACAACTCACAGTGACCTTCAACAATCCATTGTATCGGTGATCATCTTCTCTGGCCTGTCCAAGGAAATGCAAACCTGCAGGTGGGGCAAGCGTCCCATCTCCCGCGCGGGTGGCCAGTGGCCACCTGCTTCCCCCGCTGCCGCCATCTTGGCTCCAAGAATTCTCCCCAGAACAAGTCTACTTTGCAGCAGTGTGGCGGGTCTGCTGCACCAGTCTTGGGGAGGCCCAGTGCCTACCATCCATCCTGGGCGAGGGAATCCATAGGTTCTGGCTGTGGGAATCTCATGGAGCTGCGGCAGCGGTGCAGCGCAGTGCGGGCTCTGTGGAAGGGGATTGGGAGCTGCGAGACTCACCCATTCCTCCTTGGGAATCCTTGAATTCCTGTTGTTGAGCCTCAATCTTCACTGAAG